GTTCAGCAATATTCTATCTTCTGCAGCCTCTGCTGCTGATACTCAGGCAAACAGGGTCTGGAGTGAGCTCAAGGCAATCTCAACAGACCTACAGCTGAGGGTCCTGCTGTTAGAGGAAAACTACAAACAGGAAGGGACACCCCACCAACCCATCAGTTACCTCACCATCATCAAAGACGCAGGAGCCGTAAAACCACAAAATGAGGAGAAAAAGCAGGGCAGAAAAGTGGAAGATTCAAAAAAGTAAGAAGCACTTTCCCCTGCAAAGGAACGACAGCTCAATCGCCAGGCAACAGGATCAAAGTCTGGGACGAAAGATGACTTTAGCGAGATGAGAGAAGAAGGCTCCGAGTCCATCAAACTTCTCAGAGCTAAAGGAGGAATTAGTTACCCAGCGCAAAGAAACTAAAAAATTCGAAAGAAGACTGGAAAATTGATAATAGATAATTAATGCAGAGAAGGGCATAAACGAACCTTGACAGAGACGAAAACCGATGACACGAAGAAATACGTGACAAATGCACAAGCTTCAGGTAACCGACTCGGTAACTGGGAAGAAAGAGCTATCAGAGGATTGAGGACCTCAACAGAATGAAAATGAGCAAGAAAGATAATTAAAGAAAAAAAAGAAGAAAAAGAAATGAACAAAGCCTGCAAGAAGTATGGGATTATGTAAAAAACCAAATCTATCGTCTGATTGGGTGTGCCTGAAAGTGAGGGGAAAATGGAACAAGTTGGGAGAACGACTCTTAGGATATCATCCAGGGAGAATTCCCCAACCTAGTTAGGCAGGCCAACATGTCTCAAATTCAGGAATACAGGAGAACCCCACAAAGAATATCCTCGAGAAAGCAACTCAAAGACACGTAAGTTGCCAGATTCGTACACCAAAGTTGAAATGAGAGGATAAAAACTCTTAAGGGGCAGCCAGGAGAGGAGAGGCCTCGTCTCAACAGGTGTACCCAACAAAGGGAAGTGGCCATCAGGACTAACAGGCAGATCTGACGTTTGGCAGGCAAACTCTACAGCCCAAGTGACCAGAAGATAGAGTTGGGGGTCAATATTAACGATTCTTAAAAGCAATGAAGATCGATTGTAAACCCAGCAATTTCATATCCAGTCCAAACATAAGTCGCTTCCATACAGTGAAGGAGAGAAGTAAAATCTTTTCAGATAGCAAATGCTTAGAGATTTATGTCACCACCAGCTCCACCCAGTTCGAGCTTCCCAGCAGCTTTGTTTACCTACTTAAGCCTCAGCAATGGCGGGCGCCCCTCCCCCAGCCTCGCTGCTGCCTTGCCGTTAGATTGCAGACTGCTATGCTAGCAATGAAGGAGGCTCCATGGGCATGGGACCCTCCCGGCCAGGTGTGGGATATAATCTCCTGGTGTGCCCATTTGCTAAGACCCTTGGTAAAGCGCAGTATTGGGGTGGGAGTTACCTGATTTTCCAGGTGTTGTGTGTCTCAGTTCCCCTGGCTAGGAAAAGGGATTCCCTTCCCCCTTGCGCTTCCCAGGTGAGGCGATGCCTTGCCCTGCTTCAGCTCTCGCTGGTTGGGCTGCAGCAGCTGACCGGCACCCATTGTCTGGCACTCCCCAGTGAGATGAACCCAGTACCTCAGTTGAAAATGCAGAAATCACCGGTCTTCTGTGTCGCTCGCGCTGGGAGCTGGAGACTGGAGCTGTTCCTATTCGGCCCTCTTGCTCTACCCCTCCGCCTTACACATATTTATATTCTCCACATAGTCACACATGGCAAGTGCCCAATGGCTATTTCTTGAATAGTATTTATGTCATCATCAATATCATATTTAAAATACAAAATAAACATTTACATATATAATTAAGAAATTTCTAAACAAAATTTACAATTAGAGTCCTAAAATGAAAAAATTCAAGAGAAATTTTTTAGATTATAGATTTGCTTAACAGAAGTTAATTTTTCAGAATATTTTATATTAAAATCACTTCCAATTTTAAAAGAGTAATCTGAGCAATCTTTTTTAATACAAAGGTGACATTACTTGTAAACTTTCCCAATAATTATTATTATTTCAAGAATATGTGAGCTAACATGGCTTCAACATGAATCTAGAACAACTGTAGTTTCCCAGTGTAATCTCACATGTATTAAATAAAGCTGACCATCAAAGACATACAACATTTCAATTTGACACAATAATGGTATGCCTCAAAAGACAAGGACAACACTTCAGCCGAAAGAGGAGTTTTCATTGATCTTATAAGGTCCACCATTGAAGATTCACTAGATTTTTGTTAAATAAGAATGGTAATTCCATTAAAAAGTCGGCAAAGGACATGGACAGACACTTTTCAGAGGAAGACAACATGCAGCCAATAAGCATATGAAAACATGCTCAACATTACTAATCATAAGACAAATGCAAATCAAAACCACAATGAGATACCATCTCACAGCGGTCAGAATGGCTATTGTTACGTTAAAAAGTCAAAAAATAGTAGATGCTGACAAGGTTGCAGAGAAAAGGGAATGCTTATACACTGCTGGTGGGAATGTAAATTATTTTAGCCATTGTGGAAAGCAGTTTGGAGGTTTCTTAAATAACTTAAAACAGAACTATCATTCAACCCAGCAATGCCATTATTGGGTATGTGCCCAAAGGAATATCAATTATTCTGTCATAAAGACACATGCATGCATATGTTCATTGTTCATTGCAGCACTATTCACAATAGCAAAGACTGGATAAAGAAAATGTGGTGCATATGTACCATGGAATACTATGCAGCCATTAAAAAAAAAAAAAAAAACAAGATCATGTCCTTTGCAACAACATGGATGAAGCTAGAGGCTCCATCCTAGGCAAACTAACACAGGAACTGAAAACCAGTGCCTCTTAGAATGAAGTCCATGGAGTAAATAATCTTCAGTCATTAATTGTATTCTGAATGCTTTTTTCCTCTAAAAGGGCATGAACCCTTGGCAATATTTTGTGGTTATCCTGATTATTTAGTACAGAGTGTAATGTAGAATGGCCAAGATTGCAAAGCAAATTTCAAATTACATCCTTTCCCATCTCTGGTTGTCCTTAAGCAGCTTCCTTTGCAAATCATCCAAAGAGTCAGGCTTAAAAGATATACATAATTTGGTCCTGCACCTTATCAAATACATGTTATTGAAGCCCCTGATGGATTAAGAAAATCCTGGACACATTTTTTCTTCAATGAACATTTTCATAAGATATTCTTCCAGTAGAATCTTGACATTGTTTTCTTTCAGTTTTAAGAGACCTTGTATCTAGGTAGATGAGTATTAAATAAACTTGGAAAGCTCAGCCTTAACAGAATGAAGAGAAAACCAATGTTTTAAACAACACGCGAAATGTTATTGAATGGATACATGAGACACTGGCATAAAAATAAGTTGTTGTGTAGCTTAGGACCTTGTAAACAGCAGAGCACTTTAGAAAAAATTATATTAAAAAACTGAGTTGGCATTTTCATTTTTTTCTTTGCTTTGTTATTTGGTGATATTTTTAATTCATACAAATGTATGTCTGATGCATAAAAAATTGAGAATGTTAAATCTTATATATTAACAACACTGGTGTTTTAAGTCAGACTGATCTGGGTTTGAATAGTGGGCCTACATCTTTACCAGCTCTGTATCCCTGAACAGCTTACTCGTATATTTACATGTCTATTTTTCCTCACCAGTAAAATGAGAACCACTTTTAGGTTGCTTTGAGGCTGAAATTAAAGGAAACAGTGCATGTAAATGCACTCAGCACAGTGATTATCATAGACCAAACACTGAGTAAATGCTGATTCTAATAGTTTTAAGTCTTTTAATACAGGGGGCTCTCAAAATTTAGTTTTAAATCTTACAAACTTCTTTAAAAATGTTTTTCTTTTCTGTAGTGTATTCACAGTTTTATTCACTGATTTCTCTGACAGCTGTTCTGATGTTGTGAAGTTCATAAGACTGAAGGAAAGAGTCTTAAGATAGCTATAAGAATCCTAAATGATGATAACAACATTATCAGATAGTGGGTTGGGGAGATGACCAAAAGGATTCAGAAGATAATTTTTACATGTGCATCAAGGGACATCTAGCGTCCTCAAAATGCTATTTTTTAAATTACTTTTTAATACTAAAACCAGAATATATATCATTCATTATATTATCTACTCCTCAGCTGCCAGATATTTTGTGTATACCACTCTTTTAATCTTTTTAACCATCAGTCCTCAACCTTTTTGGCATCAGGGATTGGTTTTGTGGAAGACAGTTTTCCCACAGAACCAGGGGGGAGTGGGGAGAGTGGGAGGTGATGGTGGCTTTGGATGAAACTGTTCCACCTCGGGTCATCAGGCATTAGCTTCTCATAAGGAGCATGCAACCTAGATTCTTTGCATGTGCAGTTCACAATAGGGTTCTTGCTCCTATGATAATCTAATACTGCCACTGATCTGATAAGAGGCAGAGCTCAGGCAGTAAATGCTCGCCTGCCACTCACTTCCTGCTGTGCGGCCCAGTTCCTAACAGGCCACCGACAACCATACCCATCTCTTGCCCTGGGGTTGAGAACTCCTGGTTATTAAACAACCTGATTAGGTTATTAAATGGCCTAATTGGATGGTTTACCCTGTCATGTTAATGAGGAAACTGTGATTTGGGGATATTATGCAACTCAAACAAGACCCTACAGCTAGTGAGTGGGGAAAGCAGAATTCAAATTCATATCTGTCTGACTCCAACAAAATGCTTCTTAAATGAGTTTCATGAAAGTGGTAACATTGGTTGTCTTGTCTGTAACCTAGCCTTAGTGTCTAGAGTGGTGTCTGATATATAATGAAGTACTCAGTAAATATCTGTTCGGTGAAGGAATGGATGAGTCATCTCTTAACAGAGTGAAATAGATTTGAATGTGTGTGTCCTGGTATTTTTAAAAGTTGCATAGCAGTCATTTTGTGTGTGTGTTAAGACTTAGTTTTTTTTTAAATTTTTTTCCCTAGGTTACCTGTGGCCCATACCTGCTTCAATCAACTTTGCCTTCCCCCCTACAAAAGCAAAAAAGACCTGAAACAGAAGTTAATCATTGGAATTTCAAATTCAGAAGGTTTTGGACTTGAGTAACCTAGAAGACTTGAAATATAATCTTTTATATGTAGCATTCACTTCCCTCTTACTGTGCCTTTAGCCTTTTCATGTTTCTGTCTCAAAACACTCACAAAGCTTATCAACTTCAAAATATTAAGTTTTTAAAAAATCAAATATGAAGTATGTTCAGCAAAGGCATAATTTTCTAAAAACACAGAAATTGCTTGAGTGAGGAAAAATCCACATGGCAGAGAGAGGTATGGTCCAGTTCCTCTTTTTTATAGCACTTTATCATTCTCCACAAGTAGTTTGTCACAGGCATTCCACTGGGAAAGCAAAGTACAGTGAAGAATGAATTTATGGTATAATTAAACCCAGTGGCAGATTGTACACTGCTAGCCCTGCTAGCACACAGTAGCAAAGCAAACAGCTACATTATCTTTAACATAAGGCATGTAGCCATATTTTCATATAGCGGTATACAACACAGTATCATTGCAAATGCAGTTTACAGGGTTTTTTGATATACTGGCTTGGGACCTTTAAGATTCTTCTCAGCTGTTGCTGAAAAGCATGTAAATAACTACATAATAGCCTGAGAATAATGGGATTTTGATAGTGCCATTTATTGTTAAAGATTTATTTTTACAAAGTAAATTCAGGGTTTTAGATGTGTACACAGCTTTTACAAATCAAAGATGATTGTACAAGAGTATTTTCAGACTAATTGGATTCAAGGTTATATTCTTTTAAGTGTTGTTAGTCTGCATGCACATTGGCAGTAAACTAGTTACTTGTGTACTCTGTAATATTTGTATAATGATCATTTCTTCTTAAGGCTCAAGATATTAGAAAAGAAATCAGACCTAAATAATCATTGATGAAGTATGTCAGTTACAAGCACAAAAGAATATAACTGCTTTTATAAATTTTTTGAATGATGTACAAGACTTATATCTACATTTTTTGATCACCAGTTGGACCAAAACACTAATTTTTGAAAAAGGTAGGTTAAAGTATTTGACAAAAGTGAATACAATAATAATATTTGTGTCAAAATGATATAGCTTGATATACAAATAAAATTCAACGTTTTGGCCAAAATGTTTGTTTTTCACTGGATTCTGAATATAGTAAATTCGAAGTACCCTTTTTTTAAGAGTTTCTAATAAAGTAGTATGTAAAAAGAAACCGCATTTTAAGTCAGACGGTAAATGTTTTTTGTTTTTTATTTACAGCAAATGAAGCAGTTTTATTAGCATGTAACAAATATTGCCAAACCAAGACTTCTCTACCATACTTTGACAGCTTTCCTTCAGAAAACTCTGAAGTTATATTTGCAATAATAATGAAACCAGCAGTTAGTACCAGCATATGGTTCATGTGCAAATAATTCTTTCCCCAAAATCTTTCTGGGCTAGGCTATTTTCTTGCTATGCTTCCTGCACCCAACCAGCAGAATTCTTCCAGGGTGGAGGAACTAATCAGCTTATTCTCCAACAGTTCTGAATCCAACCCACAAATCTTTGAGAAAGAGGGGTTACTTTGTTTACTGTTCTCTTTGAGATGGAAGTGATTCTGCTTTTCCATTTGGGTATATTATTTCAAGGGTATTTCTTCTTAAAAATCTTGGAAAGCCTAAGTAAGAGAGTTAAAGGCATCCTGGTTTTGTTTCATTTTGCTCTGTTTTAAATCCATATGCAAATAAAACTGCTTCTCTCTTACACTGCTTGAACTAGAAAATCAGCTTTTTAATGTAGGTTACCACTTATAAGCACAAAAGAAACATGTATAAGAAACCAGATTTAAGTGTTTTAAATAAAATATAAACAGTTTTTATTTGGTAGAGATGACTCATGGAAAAATTGTGTTGGCTTGGTCTGCATGTTTAATGATGTGCTTGTATATCGATTGCTGTGTCACTTTTAAATAAGAAGTCCACACAAGCAAGCCAAATTTTTAAATGACGAAGTCCATAAATAACTAGAGAATTTTTGTTATCTGTTGTTAAGTTGAAATTTATAATGATGTATCACTAAATTGCACATTGCCTTTATTTATTTATGCTCTGTTTTTGGTTTACAGTGTAATAATACCTCATTTAAAAAATAAAAACCACTACTGTTACCTTTTGTTAATTTAAAAAGCTAGAAAACTCATGTAGTTACTTTTTTACATATATAATCTGTTGATGAATTCTTGATTTTTGTATCTGCCACAGTAAATTAAAGCATTACATAGTATTTATCAGTATTTTTTAAATGTCCTGTCCTTTTTTAAAATCTTTGCCTAGTCATATTATTGTCTGTATGATTAGAAGATTTTACGTCCTTCCTTTTTTGTACAAATCTGTATTGTGTTAAATTAATTTCTGGATGCAATTTTTCAAATATTAAAATTATACACTCAGTCAGGCTTCAGTTTATTTTTTGAACACTGGGCAATTAATTAAAGCCATATGTTTAAAATATTTTATAAATGCAAGCTATTCTTTGCATTATACTGTCTCTTAATCTAGTGCTTAGGAAAATTGCTAACACATAACTTCAAAAAATGTATGTTGTTGACACTAAGTATTACCAACCTCTTTAGCATATTTTCAATGTGAAATGTATATCCAATATTTGAAAGATCACACAGCTATTCCACCAAATGAATGTATAATACCATTGGAATACACCCAGAAGTGAACCAAGTGTAACATTTCATTGGCCGTAGATAGATAACTTCAGCTCTTAAGTATTCATCTCCAAAACCATTCATTTGGCCTTTTCCCCCTTGTTCACATATTTCATGCTTAAGGAAGGAAGAGTGGAGATTATAAGAATGTAAGAGAGAATGTTATGGGTGATTAATGAAATAAAATAGGTAACTGGATGGAAAAAAGACCGGGATGGATTTTCACAGGAGGGGACACAAGATCAATTCACCCAGCTGACCACAAATGCTTTAGTCTAGTGCCTAGGTTTTGGAGCCAGACTGCCTGGATTCACCATTTACTAGCTGGGCGAGTTAACTTCCTCATTCCTCAAATGTACAATGGAAATAATTTGTAAAATGGAAATAACCTACCTACCTCGTAGAGTTGTAGGGAAGATTAAATGAATTAATGTGTAAAGCACTTATGCAGTGCCTGGCACATGATAAGCAATAAAAAGTGATGCAAGACAAATTATGGTACTGATGTAGAAACATCTTACAACCACTGCTTCTGACGCCTTCTGGAGTCTTTTGACTCAAATGTTGGGTTCAACCACAGATTAAAGAACACAAAGTGCTTTTGAAGCCTTAAAATTGTGTTAGGAGAATCTTTCTTATTCTAGAAACAGTACTTTAGGATTTATCCTTATAGATGTCTCATGATGCAAGGGTTTTAAATACTATTTTATAGCTGTGTAACAAGATACAATTTTATGTTTAATGAAGTAGTTCAAATAAACAAAAATTTCAGAATTAACATAATGAAATACCGTGATCCCACACTCAGACCTAAAAAAAAAAAAAGATAATGTGTTAATATTACCAGTTTTTTTTAAAGAAGTTTGCAGGTGGGATTGAAGCCCCTTTCGTGCCCATCTCTAATCCCACTCCACTCCCTCTCTGTCTCTATTAACCTGTAGTTCATGTGAATCTTTCCCATGCTGTCTTTACATTTGTATGACATGTGTACCTATGTGTAAACACTATGTAATATTGTTACAGTTGCATACATCTCATGCTATACATATCTTTCCAAAACTTTTTTTCACTTATTGTCTTTTATAGATTTATTTACATTGAGATATAATGCATTTTTAACTGCAGAATAGAATCATGAAATGAAGGTACCAGTTTGTGGATCCATCCTCCCACACACTAACGTTGAGTTGTTTTCCAGTGTGAACCAGGCTCCCTAGACTATAGCCCAGATACAGAATTGCCAGATCACAGGGTGTATATCTCTGGCTTTACCAGGTATTGTCCACTTGCTCTCCAGAGTGGTGGTTCCAGCATTAATTTCCATCAGCCTTATAAAGAGTTGTCATTTGTCCACATTCTCCCCAACACTTGGTTTTAGCAGACCTTTCTTGGCTTATCTAACTAGTGTGATTTAATTTATATTTCCATAATTGTTAATGGCATTGAACACCTTTGTGTATACTTACAGGCTATTCAGATTTCTTCTGTGAATGGCCAGTTCAGTATTCTTAGCCTGTTTTTTTTTCTATTTTCTTCCTCATTGGTGTTTAGGAGTTTTTCCCTTTTTCTGGATATTGATCCTTTGTTAACGGGAGCTACATTGTTTCAGTTGAATTCCAGATCTGCCAGTGACTAAGTGACTTGGAACAAATTACTTCAAATTACTTAATGTTTCTTTGTCTCAGTTTACTCGTCTAGAAAATAATGCTTGGCTCACGGGGTTGTTAAATTAAAGTTTACATACAGGTATATTTGTATATATGTACATATGTATGTATATGTGTATATTATAAGTTTATATGTGTATCAGATACATGCATATGTATAGACTTACATACTTATACATAAACTTACAGAACATATATATGAAGGGCTTACATTTATGCCTGACCCGTCAGTGTTCTCTAAATGTTTGATATTATTACTATTGTTATTACCTGTATTCTCATTCTTATTGTGCTTATATTACAAATATTTTCTAATATGTGGCCTAATTTTTAACTTTACTTACCTCATCTTCTATACTATGAATTTTTAATGTTAACGTAATCCATAAAATAAGGTGTCTTTATTATGTAGATAATGTTTAGATTTAACCACACATTTACAATTTCTTCAAACAGCATTCCCTCTTCTGTGGTCCTTCACCAACCTCTGGAATCAAATTTCCTCCTCGTAAAGAACATCTGTTAGAAATTATTTTAATGAGGGTTGGTTGGTAGCAAATTATTTTAAATAACTGTCACCTTTATTCATGAAAGACTTATTAAGCATGCATTTGTAGGTTGATAATTGTTTTATAGTTTTTAATGTATTAATCCATTACCTTTGATTTTGTTGTTGACATAAAGTTAGCTATTAGTATAATTGTATGCCTTGGTAATCTCTCTTTTTTCTCTGGCTACTTTTAAGATTTTTTTTTCCCCCAAAAAATGGTAGAACATCAAAGACAACATGTGTATGTGTGTATTTTTTCTCCCCCTTGAGCTTCATTATGGTTCTTGAATCTATAGATTTGTATCTTTCATCAATTATGGAAAAATTCTTAAGCTGTTTCCTCTTTGGCTATTGATTTTTCCTGTTCTCTCTAATTTTTCCTGTTGAACATATATTGGACCATCTTATTCAACCATTCCATCTCTTTCTCTGTACCTAATGTGTTGTTTAACCAACCCACTGAGATTAAAAACTCAGTTTTAATCAGTGGCTGCACTTTTTAATTTCTAGAAACTTCTTTGAATTCTTTTCAAATTCACATGCTCTTTTTCCATACCATTTCTTCATATGGTTTTCTTTAATAATTTTGGCATACTTGTTTAATGTTCTCTTTTAAATTGTTCTACTCTAGTCCTTAAAGCACTCATTTTTCTATTTGCTCATCCGTTGTCTCACAGTGGTTTATTTCCTTATGTGATCTGTAATTTTTGATTTTGCATTTCTACTTCAAGGATGATCTTTTCCACTGGACATCCTGTGTGTCCTGAATACTGTAAATAGCCTAGCAAAGCAGTTTTATGTTGTTCTCAACCAAGAACTTACAGGTCTGCCGCAGATTTTTATGTTAACTTCTTCAATTAGAGTTCCTTCTCCACTTGTGTAAATTTGGACCCCACACTTACAGTGGCACAGTTGGGATTTATGAGTAGAGTTCTTCTATCTTCTTTTCATAGACAAAGCAACCCTTTTAAGGTCTAGGATTTATGCAAGAGAATTCGTTTTGGCTCCTCATCTTGAAGAGGCCTAAAGCATGTCTGTTGAGCTCACAAGGACATTAACATCCATTAGAGAGGTCATCCTCATGAGTCACCCTAGTATCAGCACCTGCTTCCTACTTCTGACTTTTCATTTCTTCCTTATTTCCTATATCTAATTATTTCCCTTCCTTTCAAGCTTGGATATATATTTTTTATAGACATATATAAAAGTTTATAGTAGTAGATGGCCTATTCCATTTCAGCTTGGTCTATAGAAGCATGCCCATTACACTACTGTTTGTGAATTTGTTCAACACTTGTTTATTGAGAGCCCATTATATTTCAGCAGAAGGCTAATCTTCAACTTCATACTCACTTATTCTTTATAAACATAAGCAGCAAATATAATTCTCAATATCTTATGAAACCTTAAATATGTATCATAGCAAGAAAATTTCTTAAGGGTTTTCATGACAATTATGCAACTCAATGTTTTCATGCCCTTTAGAGATTATGACTGTGAACACATGGGCATACATACAATAGAAGCATTAGTCTCCACTGAGTTAAGCTGGTAGGTTTTTTGTTGTTGTTGTTTTGTGTTTTGTTTTGTTTTTGTTTTTTTGAGACAGTGTCTCACTCTGTTGCCCAGGCTGGAGTGCAGTGGCTCGAACTCGGCTCACTGCAAGCTCTGCCTCTCGGGTTCATGCCATTCTCCTGCCTCAGTCTCCTGAGTAACTGGGAATACAGGCACCCGCCACCACACCCAGCCAATTTTTTTGTATTTTTAGTAGAGACAGGGTTTCATCATGTTAGCCAGGATGGTCTCGATCCCCTAACCTTGTGATCCACCCACCTCGGCCTCCCAAAGTGCTGGGATTACAGGCGTGAGCCACCGTGCCCGGCCGCTGGTAGGTTTTTCTGTAACCAGACTTAACTTTTTCTGTGTGTACTTGCACACACACAAATTACAATGAAAAAAATGCAGAATTATTTCAGGAGTTTCTCAAGCACAATCTTGTGCTGTGTTTCCAACCATATAGGCCATCTCCACTTATAAGACTTTCAGTATGCCTGCCTTGTCTATTTCTGTCACTGGCAATCTTATTCTTCTGATCTCCTTGACTTGTAAACATTAGCCTCATTTTGACTTTACTTTCTCTTTAACGTCCACGTCAGCAAGCTTCATCTTTACATTGTCCTTCTGCTCAATTTCTACAGCCTCCTCCGTGGGTTAGATAGACACTCAACCCTTCATAATGAACTTACTTCCTTGCCTGTAGACTTACTCTTTTCCCAGTTTTCCTAAGGTACCTACAGTTAATCTTTGTAAAATTCTGTTTTTATTCTGTTGCTCCTTATTACAAATCAAAGATGTATCTGGTGCTTATTTGACCATCTTCTAACTGCAAAGCATAGCATAAGTTCCACTTTTATTTTGCATAATTTATTTTTGTTCCCTAATACCAACTTCCAAAAGGATAGGTCCTTTACTGTCTCCTTAACACACCCTGTTCAGTCCCATCTCTGCCTGCT